TACTCGACCCATGCTACATACACTAAGTATTAAAACGCTTGTAACTTAATAAGTACTAATTCTAAAATTTTTATCGACCCATTAACAATTTTGTAAGAATAACTTGTCCGTTCATTTTAGTCAGTACTAAAAGTTATAAGAGTTGTCAATTAGATCAGTTCCACTCTGTATTTGTTACGGTCAATGCGCACATAGACATGGATTATAGTACTGCCCAAAATTATGTGGCAATGTTATAGAAACTCAACTTGATCAATGTAGTATTGCCTGGCGTAAAATGAACAATGTATCTCTCATTACAAAATCACAAAATATCAAAATTTGTTTAGAAAAATAAAAAATATATTGTGATCTAAAATTTGCGACTAAAACTTTTTGATTGTTATTGATTATATTAATCACAAAGTTTTAATATTATTAAACTTTGAATTATTGATTTTAGGCGAATTCTGGGACAAAGTAATTTTAAATGTTTTAATCAATAATACAACTTATTTTTTGTAGTTAAATCTGTGGCCCTATCGTACATTTTTTTTGCAAAATTGACTCCAATTTGTTATTTTTAATGTTCATTTTAAGATTTTTCATATGTAATATTGTTACTATTGTTTCCTATCATAATAATGCATAATCATCATGTGCAATTTTATCATAACTACTATTGAATATGTATTTAAAAATATTATACATTTTTAATTTGAACTAGCAGTATAAAAATATTTGATAGTTTGATACTTGATAATTGAGATTAGCTTGTAAAGTGCAAATGACCGAACTGACATTGAGGAAAAGTATTTAATGTTTAACAAAAATTTTCCTTCTACCTTGATATATGCTGCTTCGTTGATCAGTTATCATTCACATTATTATTAAAGTTTTGATTTACTTTATTGTCGGTTATTGCTAGTATAAGGTTATAAATTATTTAAGGGTCAATAAATTTTCAATATTAATTTATTTTATTAAAAGTTAATTTATTAGAATCCTCAAAAACTCACGAATATAAATTTTAATACAAATAATAATCTTATTTAAGAATTTATTTTGGAAATTAATTACGATTTTATATAATCAGTTGCCATTTTTTTTTATCAATAATCACATAACTCAGTATTTGAATACAAAAAAAAAAATAAACAAAACATATTACCATAATTATTTAAATGATGTAATTTATAACTTGTCTCTTGTTATAATTATTGACAGAAAAAATGTTTAGTTTTTTTTTTTTTTTAATTATAGTGATTCACATGATAAGTATTGGTAAAATAATGATGCTATTTACTTACATGTATTTTACCCACTATTTTTATTGTATAATATCAAACAATTTATGACTTTTAAGTATTCAATAATTATGAACATTAAAATTATAATGCATACAATAAATAATAATACTTTTAATAGAGATTGAAACTACATAAAATATATTGTAAGCAATTAAATTCTTTATTAAATTAAAATTTATTTAGATTTCCAGATCAAGTAAAAAATGAGAATACTAAAAAGACTGGAAAAACTGGTTATCAAATATGTAATAATGCAGAGTGCAATACTTTGTGTAACATGCGTAAATAAGCATAATGGTTTTTTGACATTGAGATTTCCTGAAATCATATTTTGCACAGTGGACATTATTTTATTTAAAAGTAAAAAACCTGCTTCAGAATATAACTAAAATGTTTGTTTCTCATTTAAGTTACCATAAACAATAATTAGGCATGAATAAAAATATATTTTTTCAACTGTTCTTGAAAATGTCTTATAAATATTTAATCTGTTATTCAATTAGGAAAGTGATTCCTTTACTAGAACAATAAAAAATTATATTAAAATAATTCAAGGTAAATGAAAAGTGTAACTGTATCATAGCTGCAAATAGTGTTCAAGACTTAGGAATGGTTAAGTTTTTATCCCTTACTATTTTGGATACGCTCAACATCAATTCATAATTATGACGTCAACATGAAAAAGTTACTACTTCCAAAAAAAAAAAATCAATATTTTGTTTTTTCATGAACATCGCAGTAAATAAAAATCCTAATAAACCGATAGTAAAATTAAATAAAAATTTTGTTTAAAGTAAGAATAACATGGACAAAGTACGCTTATCATAAGTCCACTAAATGTAGGTGAACGATTTTTACATTTCTTCAATAGTTTAGTTTTTTCTATGATATAATTAAACAATCAAAAATTTCTTTTCATTAATAATTTTGGGTAAATATAATGTTTAAATGTATTATACAAGTATTGAATTCTTTGAACTCTTAAAGTAATTTTAAGGTTAGACAATTTTTAACAATACGAAAACAGTTTTTACCTTTGACTGTGACCGAATTAATAAATTAATAATTTAAAATATGCAATTAAGCTATTATATAGGTATTCACGATGATCGTGAGTAATGTATAATTGTTTTGAGTCTCTAAAACGTTATTTTAGAGATACTCTGTTTAACAATATCAATATTTTAAAAGTTTTTTTTATTTTCATATTGTAAAATTTAATATTTCTAAAATAGTAAACTATTTTCATTACATCCCTTTATTAAATATGTATGAATATATTTTAAGAAATATTATATGAACTAGATATGCGTATGTTACGACTAAATTCTACCTTTTCTTTAATATTTTAATCACTTCCTATATACATTTTTATATACTGAAATTTGTAGCTTGAAAAATAATAATATGAACAATAAAAATATTTGTATTTTTTTTAATTAATATTTTTCATACATAATAGAATATTGAGTAAGACCTTATAACTAATGATTTAATGTATATTAAATGAAATTATATTACATTAGTAAAATTAATACTAAGAAATTATATTACATTAGCTTTCACCTTAATGTGACACTTTAAAATCCTATTGATAGCATTTTCTTGACTTTCAGCTAACTTATATTGTATTTATTTAGTAAGCATTTTATTTTCAATATAATTTAATTTTTATTCTTTATCTAAATGTTCAAGCTACTTAAGTAAGATTTGTTTTTCCTCATTATAAATGTTAAAAACTAAGTAATGTAACTAAAGTTTTTTATAGGTTTGATTCGCATTCTTGTCATAAATAAAATCTAAGTTTCTCGTAAATAAATTTTCCCTCCTTATTGATAAATATTAATTTATTATAGGTTAGAGGCGTCTTTGGATTTTTCTCATGAGGGAGGAAATGTATTAAACAATTTTTAGAATTCTATTAAGAGAAGTTCTATCCCTCAATTACCCATATGAAAATGCTAATTTCCTTAGTATTATGAGTAGAGAGTTCTTAAGCATAAAATAAAATAATGACAATGTTCTTCAAAAAATTCAGAAAAACCATTTGTATTACTATTTATAAATACTTTTAAAGAAGTAAATACAATTGAATTTTCTCAATAATGCTTCAAAAATTACCCTACGTTAATAGGAGAAAAGATCGTAGTTAAAATCAAAATAACTACAAAATTAAAGTTTATTTTTTGGCTGGGAAGAGGTAGTAAAAAATTGATTGTGCGATATATGTCAATTAACAAACTGTTGAAACCCCTTTATCTTAAAATATTCTGTTTCAGTTTTGGTATTCATTTTTTCTGAAAATAGAAATTCCTTTTTCGATTTAAATTCTTAATATTAGAAAGGTTTTGAAATTTTGTCGACATATTTGTTCATGCAGAAATGATTAGGTAATTCTAACTTTAAAGTTTTTTGAGTTATGATAGTTTTAATCTAGGGGTGCAAAAAGATTTTAATGAATTTATTTAATTATGCACATATTTTCGCAAATAAATTATTTTCATTTTGAATATACTAAAAAAAAAAAAATATTTTTTGATTGATTGCATTTATTTATTCATAATAAAACAATTACTTTCAAAACATAACAATTATAAAAAATATTTAACTTAAAAGTCACAAAAATTGATAAAAAGTAATATTGACATTATCAATGCTAAACACATACTTAGTTAGTGTTTAATGTTGTTATTGAAATAGGTATCCACTTTTTTTGAGTAATTTTTGTGGCTTTTGAGTAAAATATTTTTTAGTTTTATACTAATATTTTAAATAATATTAGACACAAGTAATTAATTATTAATATATTGTATAATATATTCTACTCATAAATATTAAGACATTCAATTTGAAAAGATCCTATTTATGCCATTTTTTTTTTCTACATAAAATTTCATGTTAGATTCAATAAAATGCTAATTCAATTTGATTAAAATTAAAAAAAATTCATTTCATGAAAATAAAATTGTAATTTTTATACTATTTTTATATCATATAATTACGTCGTATTATTGAATTAATATACAGTGTTGTAATAATATGTTTTAAATATATTTTTATAGTTTTAAATAAAATACATTATTTAAATGAAATCTGGCCAATAATGAGGATGATTATAATATTCTTATATGTATTTAAAATATATTTTTGTAACTTATTTGGTAAATTTTTAAAATAGACCATTTTTTTTTTGGTTCTTTCATTATTTAAAGAGTTACCATAAAATAGGAAAAAATTACAAAAAATTTAATAATGTTCATGCAAAAGGGGAAGTTATGGACTCCTATACTCCCTCTAATACACATCTGTGATGAAAATAAAATAAAACAAAAAATTCTAATAATTAAGCCTCTAAAAATATGTGTACTCACATTGTGAGGTAGTAAACGATTTTTATGTTTATAAACCCAATTAAAATCGAATTATTAAAATAACAAAAATTAATAATTGTTTCTTATAATATAATTTTCAAATTTCATAAAAATGTGATGTTTCATTCAATCATTTTTATTTTAAAGAACCAGTAGCAGTAAAATTAATTTATCATAGATATTAATAATTATCAATGGTCAATTAAAAAATAAACACAAATGTATAGACAATATTTATTTAATGATTTATAGCCATAAAATTAGTTTTTAATGCATTCGATAGACAATTAAAACTTAATGATACTATTACAATGATTATAATATATTCATTATAATAAATATTATACATAATATAATATACCATATACAATTAACAAGGTTTAAATATAACCAATTTGTACTAAATTTGATGTATTATTATAATACAAAAATTATATATACATGGTTCAAGTAAATAGAAATTTTGAATATTCTATATAAGAACCTGAATAATATTAACAATAAAAATTATTTCTATAAACATTTTGATACTACTTTTTATATTTTGCCTAAATAAATTTCAGCTTTTATATAGCAACAGGTCTAGGCTTCAATTCTAAAAATTGGAATGGCACGTCAAGACTTCGATTACAATATTCAACAATTAGATGTCCTCTTCTACTAGATGCACCAACTACGATAACCAAATCACCTTTCATTAAAGTAACATCACAATTTCCTTCTTCTATAAAAACGTATTATTTATTTATTACACTCGACAATGCAAACAAAATTAAATAAAAATATGTAAACACAATTCTTAATAATTACCTGGATATGACTTTTTCATTATACGACTTTGTGGATAACCGACTTTAGTATTGCCTGATACAGTGTACGAGCGACTAGGAGGTAATGGTGGAGGTCGTTCCTGTAATCATAACATTATTAATACAAGACAGCCCAAGTTTCATAATAATTTTAAATTTATATATGTTCCAAATTATTTCCATATTTGAATTTGTCATAATCCTTTTATTTAATCTAATTATAGAGAAACTTAAACTTAAAAATAAACAAATATATATATTTATTAAATTAAATTAGCTAATATTTAAGATTTTCGAGTTGATTAGAAGTTCACGATTACTTACTAAATTTAATCCAACTAGATTACATGTTTGTAAAATTGTTTGGTCGAATTTTTCAGTTTGATCCGGAGGTGGTGTACCGGTTATTGGTTGTGGTCTAGGTCTTGTAAGAGTAGCAGTATTAGTATTATTTGAAATAGGATAATTTGCAACTTGTGTACCAGATGCACTGTTTATGTTATTTACTTTTCTGTTATTCATATTTATCTTTCCGTTTAAACCTGTGAGATGTAAATCGTCGATCAGTTAATTGTAATATTTTAATTTATTCCATTATGAGATTAACTTAAAAATGAAAACTATGTATAATAATTTTCTATCCATTACATTTTTATCTTAAACTATTTACTCCAACTATTTGTGATGTAGTTTTTATGATATTCAATAAAGTTTTATATAATGAATATTGTCTAAATTTTTGAGTTAAAATTATGCTATACAATTTTTAATTTAAATGCTATAATTTATTTAAAATATTTACATTGTGTAATTGGATTAACAGACTGCTGCATTTGTAACACTCTCTTGGTGCCAGGCCATTTTCTACGCATTCTCCAACTTCTCCAGGTACATTGTATAAGTACAGCCGCATTATGGTGAGTTTCCCATCTAAGTTTTTCTAGAAGCTGTCTAACACCCTCACTAAAATAAATATATTATAAAAAATACTGTTTAATATGAAATATTTCTAATATTAGTTAATTGGTACCTTAAGAAAACATGTCTTTTTCCAAATGCCCAATTCATACTAACTTCACTATATTTTGTGTTAATTTTTTCTTCAATACACTGTAATATTAAGTTGCAGTCATCAGTTGCTCTATCGTCGATCCTCATTAGTTTGTTGAATGGCGCCAAAGTCTTATATCTTAGATTAAAAGCTTTATATCGCATTCGATGAGGGAAACCTAAATAAATAGAAAATAATTTGTTTAATAAATATTTTATAATAAAAATTGTTTTCAGTTTTACCTCCCGCCATCAAATTTACAGTTTCTAAAACTTGTAATGAACGTATTTGTCGCATAACTACAGCTCTATCAAATTTTTCAGGGGTCTCTGTAGCATTAGATTTAATACAACGCACAAAATGAGGTCTAGCATGAACTAATGATCTCAATAAATTATCGAGTCGAGTATGAAAATCTTGAGTTAATGTAGACACTGGTTCATTTCCATTCAATCTAAGTAAAACAAAAACTTATTTTTATTTCATATAATATATTATGTGATACATAATATAATTTCTTTTTTTATAATACACATGGTTTTAATTTTCTTTTGTGTGGGGTAATTGTCATAATACCTAACTTGATGTTCCGACTATAAAGATAGTAATAAAAGTCTTCTTCTTTTTCCTCGCCTTAATCCCAATTACTTGGGGTCGGCCAAAGTTAATAATAAAATTATAGCTAATAAATAGTATAGGGTTAGTTGAACCCTTTATCAAATAATATAATATAGTTATTTAAATATTTTAATATTGAATAGATTTAGTTAAGATTATCTCAGTAAATAACTTATTGTACTCAATTTGTATGGTTTATTTTTCAGAAATTCTAGCTTTTGTTAATAATATTTTATGTAATGTAATGGTATTTATATTGATGAAAAAAAAATTAAAATGAACACTGAGTAAATAGTTTAAATTGAAACTTACAAATCAGAATGTGATGTTGGTGATATTCGAAATTTTATTCCTCTTGGGACAGTTTCAAGGCTGTAAAGTGCTTTGAGCTCACTTCCAAATAAATGTGTAGCGAAACCAAAGGAACATAATCCCTTATGGAAAACGGACACGAGATCATCGGGCACTACATCTTTATTAGTTTCTGTATGTGTAAAAACAATTTGTTTTATTTCAATTTTTAATAATTAAAATTTAAATAAAAAAAAACATACCCAAAAAATCTGTAACATTATAAACAACTCTACCAGCGAAATGTTGAATGCAGAAATATCTTTGATCAATTGTTTTAGATTCTACAAGCCTTGGATTATTTCTATGTTGGCTTTTAACTTTCCTCAAATACAACTCAACTGAGCCATTGATGGAACATTCGACATCTAACATACTTAACAATCCAGTTCTCTGTAAATGAAATAAAATTATATAAAGCTTTTACTATAATTTTATTTTAATAATATAAATAACTTACTAATGATGAAATGAGATCTATACAAGGTACATTGTCTACGTAATCTACTTCTATATCACAGTGTATTCCTTCGTCCCGACATGATTCAATGCTTGATTTAAATATGTGAGTGTTATAAAAATGTTGCATAGTTTCGGCACAAAGGTTGATGCAAAGATGTTCTAGTTGGCTTGGCTAAAAGTTTATGTAGTTTAAGTTTTATAAAAAATAAATATAAATTTAATTATTATATAGAATTAATTGATCTCTTACTTTGGGTTCTTCAAATCCAAACATATCTAAAATTCCTATAGACCCATCCGTTGCATGTCTAGCGATATTTACAGCATTGTTCAATGCAGCCATAGATTTACTAGATTTTGAACCAGCTGTACCAATAGTAGAAGCGTGTTGACTAGCGGCATCAGCTTGGTTGTGTACAGAATCATTTGAATCGCTACTGAGTGTTCCTAGTGTTGAACCCAATCGTTTGCTATTTGCTCTCCGTACGATAGTAGCAACAGTTCTACAGTAAAGAGCTTTGGCTAGAGAATTTCTAATAGAATTAGCCTAAAAAGAAAATAATAATAAAAACTTGAATTTCGTAGATTAATTATTTTAAAATAAAATTTACCATGTTAGCATCGCAACTAGTTTTTATTAATTGAGTGTTTCCTCGAGTAGTTTCCGAATATGTTCTTGTTGTAATACCCCGGAGTAATGATGGGAACGAAATGCCCAATAATCTAGCTACAGCAGCCAATTCATTTTCACCTTTGGCGATAACTTCACCAGTTCCATTATTTACAAAATTGACATTACCCAATAGCAAGACAGCGGCAAGAACTCTAACAACATCCATGAAAGGGATACCGAGAAGTCCTGAGAGAAATTAATTACAACAACTTATTAACTAAATTTATTCTTTTTTTTTTACCTAGACAAGATTTCCACGACTGAAATCTTGCTGCATCTTCAACTTCATCTTGTCTTGTATCGCCATGCATCAAATATTGTAGATTAGAAGGGGAATATCCTTCCAAGTTCAATTTAACTGTAAAAATAAATTAAAATTTTTTTTCATAATCAAACAATTAAATTCATTAAGAATTTCGTTATCTTACCTCTTTCATCTTGAGTTAAACCAGCGAGCATTTGATAAAATATGTGATAATTTTTTTCATTTGGTAATGGATGTACGACTCTTGTTTGGTCCAAGAAATAACAATGTATTTTTGTTCGATACAAAGCACCATCAGTAACTTGTACTTCGATGAAATGTCCCTTAAATATGCAAAAAAACAATTAAAAATACATAATATTGTATTTAATTATGAGTACTTACGATTCGACTAGACTCTGAATTTGAAGATGTTTTGGCTGAGCCTAAAGATCTAAGCACTGTAAATGCAGCGGCTAAATGCTTAAAGGCATCGGTTTCTGGACCACCACCTGCCACATCGAATAATTGTCTTAACAATAACATTGATGCGTACGTTTTACCAGAACCACTGATACCTAAATGAAAAAAAAACAATAAATAAGTAAATCATAATTTTAAGAAAGATATAGTATTGTTAACTTGCCAGATAGTATGATTGCTTGAGGGTAACCAGATTCAGTTTGTTGTCTAACAGCATCTAGAATTACTTTATGCAGTTTCAAATCTAATGAAGCTCCCCTCATACTAGTTAAAGTCATTGGATTTCCAACGTCTTTATATGAATTCATACATAGTAAAACGGGCCCAATGTTGGTCTAAAAAATATATTATAAATGAGTTAAGGAAAAAAGATATAATATTAAATACAAATAAAATAATTATAATTCATTCAGGTCCGCACGGTTGGGAGCTAGGAGATTCTATTGTACTCTTTGAGATTTTTTGTGTCATTAACAAAAAGACTAATGCAAAACTAATTTAATTCTTACTACCAACTCAATTTATATGCATTTGAATTTTTGTCAATGTAAATCAATGTGATATTGTAGAATTTTTGGGAGAAAGATCGACTTTATACTGTCCATAGAGAGGAGAAGTAAAATGTATTTCTAGTTTTAGGCTTAATCCAAATAGCCTGTTTTTAAAAGTCCTATTTTTAATAAAAAATTATGTTATTGAATACATTTTAGGTGAGGAATCACGACACTTTAACCCATTTGGATGTAAGGATTAGCCTCCTTAGTTTAAAATGTTATCAATAATTTTTGCACCCTATGAGAAAATTTTTTGCGGGCATCCCTGAATATAATGTGAGATTTAACATTTTTTTATAGAGAATATACCTTCAACCAAATAATTATTTAATTACGATTACTGGTTTTTAAATAACTGTTTTAATTGGAAAACTTAACTTTACATTTATAAAATAGACTATTTCAGTTTAAAAATTAGGAGTTTGTTGTCAATTTATATCAATATTTAAGAAGAAGACGATTTCATATTATTATGATAGATAATTGCACGTATACCTTGCCTCAAGCTATTATATATATTGTTTTTATTTTACATTATAATTTACTAGAACCCGGCTTAACAGCGCTGAATATAACGTTTATCCCATAACTGACAAAATAACAAATTAAGGTTTCCCGTAGGCGTAAATGAATCAATATTTCATTAATAGATAGTTTTGCCACCAACAGACCCCATTATTTTATAGACTTCTGTATCTTTGATCTCAATTTCTCATTAACTTGGATTGTGATAAAATAATAATTAATAAAATGATATAGATAATTCCAGGTAAGTATTATATATACTGAATTTTAATTATTACTATAAAAAATAGTTAATGGGTTTATATGTTTGACATACTCTTAACTAAGAAAATTAATATTTGTATATCGATCTCTTGATAAAATTATAAAATAGTTACCCTAAATTATTTTCGGCTTTGTGCAATTGTTCTCACGGATTTGAATGGGCAAAGATTTTTTAAGTTCAATGTAAAATGAAATATAATGGGTAAGATATAATTTTATAAACGTTATATACAGTAAAGAGAAAGGCAATAAAAATGTAGGATTTTATTATTATTGGTAATAAAATGCATAAACAGATATATTTTATACTCACAAACATTTGTGTCGTGCAAAACCGACTATGCAAAGCCTTAAGCACTGCATCTTCGGTCAATGGCCCAGGAAGATGGATCAGGTCACCGTCAACGGTCAACCCACCTGTACCGGTAGTATACCCTGTGGCGGCTGCAGCCGGTCCATTTGACCGCCGTTGCGTCTGTTGCTGCTGCTGGTTCGTTTCAGTCTTCTGTTGTTGTTGTTGTTGCTGTGTAGCAATTGATGTTGTACTAAGACATTTGGGTATTTGGTCATTACATACCAATTCATCTTTACCTTTAAAGAGCTTATCTATAACACAGAAAATATAGTTGAATAATTAATTCACGTACGAGCAAGGTAATTATTAGAGAAACCTATTAAAAAAAATTATAAAAAACGTTATTTTACTTTTTTAATCAGAGTAGTTCAGTAAAATAAATTAAACTACAGTCGATAATTCATAGAATATTTATCAGAAATAAAATAAATATCAACTAAAATAGTACTGATTGGATTATGATAAGTAGTGAAAAACATTTTTTTTATTTAATGTTGTATTTATAATTACATTTTACATTCAATATATATTAATCATTTATTGAATACTCGTTATGACGCCGGAAATACTCGAAATTGTTGAGTTCCGTTTATATAGTAATTATTAAGTTTTACGGTTTATGGTCTTTACATGACTTTTTTCTTCACTAGAATAAAGAAATAATATATTTTAGTTAAATTACATAAGTTATAATTATCATTGTTAACAAGTAAGATTCGATAATATTATAAACTATTTATTTATTTTTTCTCAAGATATGATAATATTTCTATACCAATTTCCAATTGGTAAATGATAAAAAAGACCAATGGGATATTGGTTACATCATCAATGTCCAATTTTTAAAAAACATTAATTTGGAGGAGATATTTTTACCCAAGTACACTGAACGCTTAAATATTAGTAAAGATAACTGTCACGACTTTTGTATGATTATAATAAAATTGAATTACCTGAAATAGGTAAAGTGGGTAACGAGGTTCTTGGTAACACCGGCGGGGCTAACAAAGTTTTCGATGGACTGGTAGGAGCTGATTTGCCAGTATTCAATGCACCATTATTATTATTATTAGTGAAATTTGCCGGCAATTGTTTAATTGGTTGCAAAGAACACCCTTGGCCACCATTTGTTGCTCCTTGACCTTGATTAAGGCTATTCCGGAGAGTAACCAGTTCGGTACTCAGGCTACGCAGTCTTTGCTGTAAATGTACAGCCTCATTTGAACAGGACGCATCTAGAAATAAAATCAAAATTAAACTACACTTCGAGTAAAATGTGAGATATAATGTCTTACATTATTAAAAATATATTATAAATCTAATAACAGGTTGATATTTTACAGTCATTTTATACATAAAAACATATTATTATGTCTTTTTACATAAAATTTATTTTATATAAACTTGTAAAATATCTTAACATCTTATATAAATCGATTTAATTATTTGAATATTATATATTCAATAGTAATTTACTAATTACTATAATGTAGAGGTTTTAACACGCGAGTCTATTGAAAGCAATGCGCCATTATTCTTCGTTTAACAAAATATTGTAGATGTTTATTTATATTATAGTAACAAATGATTTTGTATTATGTGTTATTATTTGTTACTTTTTAGAATAACAGGTGAAACCAGCCACATTTTAAAATTATATGGTGCCCTAGTTTATTGTCAAAAATTCAATTATTTAGATTAAGAAAAATTAACAATCAACAACTGCATAAAATATTATATAGCTTGTAGCTGTCAGTGTAAAAATGAGTCATGGTAACTTCTATTTAGGAGGAGGTACGCATCGCGCTAAAAGAATTAACAGTTACTGTATAGTAGAGGTTATAGGCTATCTAGAAGTCTTATAATAGAACCTTCCGTTTTGGTTACATAGTTTCAACGAACACCTGAGACACGAAACTTAATAACAATGATTATGTTTGCGATAATATTGCGTAGGCCTTAAGTTAGATTCCCGAACAATGTGTACTTATAAATACGGACCACACTAGCTTCAACCAGTCATTTATAAACATATATCTCAAATGTCGACCATATGATTATAAACGGGTATTTATGCTTATTATTATCGTATACTCCCATCGCACGTGCAGATTATATAGTGTTGTATCCATTCAATTATATTTATCGTTTTATTAAAAAAATAATCAAAAACATAATTGGAAAGGCTTGGAGTAACAACCAAATTAGCCAATTTGTTGTCAAATTTTTTTTTATAAAAATAGTCTGATCAGAATTCATTATTAACAAAAATAGTTGATCTATTTTTTTTGTTAATGTCCTATAATATCAACAATATTTTCTTGTAAAAACACTCGAACTACATTACCTTATTGTTGCTATAAGATCTACGAATAAAATAAATTATTTGGTTAAAAAAAAATTATTTTTAATTTATAAGAAACTTATAAAGTTAATAGATTTTTTAAGATAGACAAATGTTTACAGTGAAGTGTCCAGCAGGTAGGTCTAGTAACCCACACCCAAAATGATTTACGATGTTTGAATTTTTAATCGTGATAATCTTTGTTTTTTGCTCATACAAGTTTTTTGAAATAGCGATTCAGAGTAAAATATTTTTGGAGAGCAAAAAAGAATGATAATACCTCCTCCCCGAAAATATTTTCTGGTTGCATCATTGCTATCATATATAAATAATATATTATTTTTAAATCGTTTAACCATTGTCTTTTCGTAGATAAATAAATATAAAAAAAATAGCACATTTTATAAAATATATATAAATTATAATAGAAAAATCTTCACTAAAAGAAATGATCCAAAAATACCAATGCTTCAGTATGATACTTTTTATATACATATTACTTTAACGCACAAGTAGCATTATCCGAGAATTACACTACTTAGAATAAGTATTGAATATTTGTGCCCTAATATGATAATTTACCCAGTTTATAAACATTTTCCCTTACACTGTATGCGTTAAAAACTTTCATTGCATGTATATAAAAATTCGAACATTTTTTAAGACTGTTTAAACTAAACGAAGTCTGTGTCAAAAACCAAATATAATTATCAACAAATTCGATTTGTGCCACTTAAAATTGAAACTAAGTCTATGGCTCCGTTATGTCTAGTTATTATAATCTATCATTAGCTCTTGTTTTTATGATAAATCATCGCAAAATTTATTGTGAGAATATGCAGAATAAGGACATCACTAGGGTGACGAGTGTCAACCGCTTACAACGGAGTTAATTTGACTGATGTACGTAGAATTGGATTTCTTTAATAATTGCATACAATTTGAATTAATTGACAAATTTATGTCAAAATGCAAAATTAACACAGTGAATATACAACACTTGTTTTATTTTTTGAATTAATCAAATAAGAGAATCATTATTAGTGTAGTAGTTAAATTAATTTATTAGAAAATTATTTTAAACGTTTATATTTATAAACTAGAATCATTTAAAATAACATTGTGTATATTTTAAATTAGATTTCGAAATAATTTAACTAAATTAATGTAATTTTCATTAATTTAATACTATAATTAGATTAAAATAAAAGAGTTATATTATTATAGTATTATATGTTAGTAACACATCTGTTGGTTTTACAAGATATAAAAGTGAAGAAATGTTATTTACATGACACTATATCCTTTTTATTTTTAATTAATTCACAAATGTTTGGTACAGCGTAGTTAATTGAACTGGTTTTCATAACATTTTCTGTGATTATTACCCGGAAGGCTGTAATGAAGACTATGGCCCTGCCCTATTTCACCTGATGAACAGGACCCTAATTTATTTTACAGCATTAACTTAGACTTCTTTAAATATGATAGCATGTAACAAATATATCTACCAACAAAACGAGCGTATTGAACTCTGTAAGACTACCGTTTATTTGTTACTTATTTGTTTGTTCCCTATTGAAATATTGCATTCAATAATGTATTTTGTGGTTTAGATATTAATTATTTCATTTATAAGTCAATTAAATTTTCTAGTTAAATTTCAAGTAATGAAAAATATTTAAGGTAAAATTAATTAATTGAGTACTTAATAAATTAAATTTAATTTAAGATTATACTTATAATTTTTATTGATAGTAGTAAAACAAATAGTTATGATTATATTAGACGAATAAAGTAACAAAAAACAAAAAAAATAAAGTAATAAAAATTGACTCAAAACTAAACGCTTTTATACGGTTATAATATGAACAATTTTCAAAATGTGTCATTTTTTATCATAGTTTAAGACAAATAGTAAGATGTGTGCAGCATTTGATAAATAGTTTAAAAAATAATACAATATTTGTATTTGAAAAGAAAATGTTGTTTAATTAACATTAATTATGTATATGTAATATTATTTTTTGAATAACCATAGTCCAAACTTGATGAACTCCAGGACAAATTTCAATCAATTTTTCGTTAAAGAGAGATTATTTTACTTGAAATATACATAAATTATTATTCATGTACATTGTAAGATCAAATAAAAATAGTAGTCACACATTTTTATTAAACAGTTTTAAATCAATTTGAAACTATATTATTAAAATAAATAGTTTTGCTTAAGCTTCATAAAAATTATGTGTGAATTTATTATTTCTGAGACGGATTGTTTGATTAAAAACAGTACGTGGACAGGTTTCGAGTTAACACTCATGAATTATCACGTTCATTTATGCGTATCTCTTAAATGTTTTCATTTTAGCTTGACCAATCAAGAAAACCCCTCCGGTTAACGTGTCAATTCCATGTCGTTGGACCCTCTCGTAAAATCAAAACCACTCACTGCAACGGATTGGTCTTAGTTATGTGTGCACCGATTATGTATACCGAAAATGACTAATGAGCGACGTGTGTACACTTGACTTGTTGTAAAAAGAAAACCTGAAACGGTACACACACGCAAGGAAGACGGGAAGGGAGAGAATAAGTTATAATAAAATAAAAAACCTTGGGGCGGCTGAGGAGAATGGCCTCTGATTAAAATAGTGATGAACCATGAACCTGAAGCAGCGCACTTATAATTTCTTCGTCTGCTGACCTCTACGAAAAACACATGTCACTTCAAAACATACTCCAAATTATTACTATCATTAATACATTAGTAATAAGCGTCTGGAATTCGTTACTTAGGCGTATGTTGGTGTAATTCATAATCAAGTTAATAAAAATCATGAAAATTCTAGGCCAGTAAATATTAATAAATGTAACATCATACATATATCTCGAGTACTATTATCCTTTTTAATCTTAATTATTTATGAGTATAATGTAACATAAAAAAGATATTAGCGAAGACACAAAATTTGTTTCAACCAAATTACAATGCAACTTTGTTTTATATTGACTTATGTTTATTTTGATATTAAAGACTAATCTCATCTTAGTAATTATTAAATAGAAATTATAAATAGAGATAAATAACTGATAAAGCTCATTGTGCTTTACAAGTAATTTAGCTATCGAAATTTGTAAGATTAAACTTTAAATTACTATGAAAGACAATATTATGTTTTAATTTACAAATCTGTGAGTTCAGAATAATTATCATACAAAAAACTTTGTGCCATATATTTTACAATAGACTTATGATTAGAATCTATTACACCTTTGAATGTATCTATAAGTGTGGATAACCCTTTCGTTGAACAAGAGCAATTGAATTTTTTTTTTACTTTCGATTTTTTCTCTATTTACAGTTATGTCGTTAAAAGACCATTGATATAACTTCTAGCGTTAAAAAAAGTAATAATAAATTGTAATACACATATGGACAGTGTTTGGGTCATACATGAGCGTGTTTAGGTACATTAAATGCAGACGGTTCCTAGGGTTCTTTTGTTGTGTGTCGAGGGACAGAACGAATAGAATAAGAAAAATAATATATTCTGGTCAGTCGTATTCAGGATTAGACCTTGAGAACGGTGGGACAACAATAAACCAATAATCAATCCACACTTTTGATACATACAGTGCAGTGGGTTTCGTGCACTGTTACGGGACGTCAAGTCAAAGGAACCGACGACCGGGTATACCCACTTCAGGACCTTGTCAGATGATTTATAGGCTATTCACGGTACTACTTGTATGCCTAAATACTATGATATTAAATAATCCACGTAGTTCAAGAGAAAAACAAAAACCAGAAGCATTTGCAAAATTTGCTAACCTGCTAAAACAAAAATTAGTAGTCTAAAAAAGTCTTTACAGATATTTTATAGAACACAATTTTGAATGATAATTATAATTGTAGACCAACCGGAACTTTTATTTATTATTTAAAATTTATTCTTGAAACCGGATTTAATGTAAAGGTCGCATAATTGCGTCCTTGAATCTTTCCACTGTCTGGGCCACATCGTCCACCTGATCAGTGTCAATGATCGAATTTATTCTAAAAACATGAAGATAAATAGTTTGTACCCACACTTATTATCATTTATTTAAAACGATTTTAAGAATAAGATTATATTAGCATAAATTATATATTTAGATCAATCTACTAAAGGACTTTTTATCGATGTATAAATCAATCTTGTAGAACCACTGATTTATTTAAGAGAACTGATTACTTATTTCGCAAAGTAACAATTTTAACGGACTTTTTTAATAACTCAACACAACTCGCATAACACACCTGTTCACTGACAATTTAATTTGGCGTTACACAATAGAAGTATCAACAACCTGTACGCGTGCACCACTACATTAAGAAATAAAATTGTATTAAATTCAATAATGTAAAAATAATTCTACATGAAATTTGTATCCCAGATAAATTTAATCGTTTTTCTACATTTTTAGCCAGATATTTCAACAGCCGCATTACTAAAAGATATTTCACAATATTAATAGAATCGAAATGTTAAATTTACCCTGAAGCTTAATTTCCGTTTCCCAAAATTTTTGTAGCTCGGTGAAGTATTTATCCAATATGAATACTTTTGAATGACCCACGCTGGTCATCATAATAAGTAAATGGATGCCAAAGGCGTCCCAATTATCGTAATGCTACTCAACAATTTCAAAGATAATAGTCCTCATCACTGTAAAGTTAATTTAGCCTTGAAATACTATCACTGTAATAAACGGCGAACAATCATGCTACGCGTATTTTAGCTCTATATTTAACAATTGTCGATATTTTATTAAAAAACTATCACACTAATATACGGACATGATACTAACACAACATCGCTGTTTCGGAGCCGGCCAACGGACATAAACTGAGGGCAACCTTGCGTTGTAAGGATAGAAAGAAGGAAGACTCTTGGACTATCGTGGCGGCGCCAGCTATCGATACACGATGCGCACTGCTTAAACCGTTGGGAAACATAGTTCCCATGAAGAGCTATTTTCTTGATGCACCACAGGGGTTAAAATAATTATAAAACTATAAAACTATCACATCAACTTTGTTCTTGTGTCGATTTTATAGTGTAAAATAAAAAACGAAACTGAAGTGGACATAAATTTCACACTATCCTTTTATCAAACAATTTTTTGATAAATTTCTTTATTAAGAATCTAACTACCTAAGGACCAGTAAATTTACAAAATAAAATATTTGAGCAATATTTTATCGCGTATTTGTTCTAACCCTCAACAAAATCCATAAATTCTAAATTGAAAATTTCAATTTAATATAACATTACAACTAATTTAATTGCTTATTAAGGTTTTTTATCTACTATACTCATAATTAATTTCTATCAGTAATGAATTTTAAGAAAGGTATGTTTAAATTTATAAGAAAACTACGAAATTTTGGAAACATAATTTTAAAAAAGTATTTAATTAATGATTAATAAAATGGTGTATTAATTGTTATACCATAAAAAATATATTTATTTTAAGACGTCGTAGAAGGATCAAAACTAATAATCAAAAAATATAAATACCAAACATAGGCTAAGCAAACCTTTATATTTTTTACAATAAATACATTTTTAGGCTTTTTATAAAGGAAATTGTAGCTTCAGTAGTATGATTGTATTATTCAATAAACTAGTCACTTTCTTCAAAAAATCTGTTTAATAAATTTCAGATAAAATATTCAAACCATCGTGGGAATAGATTGTTGCCGATAAACATATCACCGCGTAGGTTCTTAACGGATTATTGGATCGCACTTGAATGGACTGGTTAGGACTGTAAAAACATTTCAGAGTGTAGACAAGACGGCGAGTACCAATTAAGTTGTCAACTTATCTCTTACTGAAATCTAAGGCACCATTTAAATAACACTAAGAGAGATTTTAAAAAATCCATTTATATTGAAAAAACAACCCTCTAATGAATTACGAGCATCTTGGATCATATTTCTCAATTCAGTAATTGATAATGTTTAACTTCCTTTTTAGATATCTACTTGACTAGTTATTATCCAATGGATGCTTAAAATAAAATTGGTTTTGGGTTCCTATATGTTTTGTAATAAGCTACTCAATTTTTATTGTTTAAGTAATATTGAATCCGACCACATTGCAAATCTGTACCGTAGATTGTAACTAGGGTGGATTTCTCCGAACAAAGGATCGTATAATTGTTTCATCTAATAAATCAAACCCTATCCCATATTTTTGACGAACAAAAAATTATTTTCCGACAAGGATCCCAACGGTGGGATTGGCTTCCATGAAAAGTCGGCCTTATACTATAATACATATATGTGAGTAATAATATATGAACAAAACTGTATGACTAATATACAAGGTGTTCAGTAAGTAAAGAAACAGGTAAATTGTTACAAATAATCAGAATAGAAACCCGTTCCCTTACTTACTGAACACTCTATATAGTTTTTCTCAATATCTAAAAATAAAACATCAACGAACAAAAAGTTTACTGTATATACTAAAGTTAAGAACAAAATTTCTGTAGACAGATCAATAATTAATATTATTTCTCGTGGGTTCAATCCTCAGGGATGTTAACGAATAGTATGATTTCTTATAAAATGTGGTGCTTATAGTATAACTCTTTAATTCTTTTCCTCTGGCTGTATTGCCTGCTGTCGTCACTCATATCCAAAGTAAATGCTATTCGACACGTATAAATGTCATACTGTGCGCATAGCAACAACCATTGCTACGTTCATTGCACAGTCATCACCAAGTATCACGTTTTGATCTTTGACATTTACAGTGGTAAAACATAGTTCATCATTACTATTATTAAAAAAAAAACTATGCATGTTGAAATATACATTAAAATATAAGTAGTTATGCATTTTTTAAAACGTCTCGTTGCTTATAACGATTAATTCAAAATTTGTCTTCCCTAAAGATATAAGCAATTAATTTTATGTTTTTTTATATGCGAATGATCTGATTTCAAATTCTAAGAAAAACGACTTCTCATTTTTAAAGTGAATACATTAATCTGGTTTCTATAAATACGTGTGATTTTGGCTCTAAAGTTATGTTTAACAGCCTTGGAATAAGAGTTGCAGCCAGGAGCATCAGATTTTAAAATATTTGTAACTTGTAATAACTGGTTACTCTAAACGTTTCAAATGAATATTTTTTACTTAAAGTTTATCAATCTAACATCAACCATATCAGTCGTTTAGAAGTTTTTTAATTGAAGCAAAGTCCTAGAGAAATGTTGAGAAACTACATAATATTTTTGATAATTTATATCGATGTTACACTAAGTTGAAAATATCGATAATTTTTGTGTTTGCCATTACACCTGTCTGGGCCACACACACTATAAGATATCACCTAATGCCGCCACTACATGGAACAGAGGGTATAGAACGAATACAGTGCAGTGGTTAAGTTGGTGGTGGGGCGTTAGCACATACAGACTCCTTGCCGAGTATAAGAACTGGTTTTGAACAAACAAGAAATAAAACATAAAAAATAAAGAATAAAAATAATAATGAGAAAGAAAACATATAATACCTGTGCCTTGGGTATTTCTTCGAACTCTCTTTCACCTTTACCGCCACCGCCGCCGATTCCCAATGGAAAGAAGGAACACCTTATCTGTTGCTCCCTTCCTTTATGTATAGATACATGTAATAAATAGTTATAATAATAAAATTACTGTTTTTAGTACCGAATAGCATCCGTTGAGAGAATTATCGACGTGCCACTTGATAGACTCAGCGTGAGAGAACCTAATTTTAACGGTTGCTCATGACTTATTACCAAGCATTAAAAATTATCAATACATTACTTATTCTTACTAGTTATAGTGCCAATTAAAAAGTGATGACTATAAATATTTTTACTAAATTTTATTATAATTTTCTGACTAAAAATATATTGATGTCGGTATTGCTAGCTCTAGTTGACCAAGTAATATGATAAACTGTCAGATGTCTGATGTCTAGTTTTAAGTTTCATGTGTAGGTATTTAGGTCTATTTTCTTTGTTAAAACGTTTAAATTAAGTAGGGTATAGGCTGTATATTTAAGACTTTAAAATGCATAAAATTAAATTGTTTTTTTTTAATTAATAGTTTATTGTGAGATTATAGGAAACTTGGGGTCCATTAACAGCGGATGTTCTTGTCATTTTTTTCCCATTTTACATTGACAACGTGATATTTTTTAGTCGTAAGAATTTTGTACTCAGGAATTAAATATGCTTATAGATAATATCTATATTATTTTACTATTGGAGTCACCTAACATATAAACATTTAAGTGTCCTTAAAATATCTTGATTATAAATTCTATATAAAAATAAATGTGTTACATTAAAAATCTAATACGCGTTTCGATGATAAAATATGTAGTCTATGATTGAAACAAATTTCTATTCGGTTATAAAAAAATTTCGTTTAAATTTACTTATTTGTTTTCACTGAAATATAAAATCCCGTTAACAGTTTTCATAAATTCACACAAATAAATAAAACAAGCATAACACAAGTCGAAGTAAAGCAATAGTGAATATTTTGTTGAACTTTATTGCACGATTGTAAGTAGCTGTCATATACTGTGTGTATTTATAAATGACTTGAGTTAATTTTTTATCGAGTATATCGCGCGCTATCTGCAGCTATGATGTGAAGTTCAAGGTGATTTAAGTGTTAGATAACGTACAAATATACGCGTTTTGAATAGTTTTACACTATAGTCGTGTAAAACTTCTGAAATTGCCACTGTTTTTTTACAAAAATTAAAAAAAAAAACATTATTTTTACACCACTATCTGATTATTTGAATGAAAAATAAATAAATTACATTTTATTTTGAACTTCAAATAGATAAACTAATACTCACTCTTATTTAAAAAATAATTATGCGATAATGTTATTATATGAATACTAAAATATTTAAAAAAATGTGATTTATTTCTATTTATCTTAATCACGCGATTGGTCTATTAGATTATCACTGTATAATGAAAATTATTAAATATTTCATTAATTGCTTAATATACATACATTCAACATTCATTTGATAAATAAATGTTTAAACAAGTATAAATTGTTCAGGTTTGACATATCCAAAAACTTTTGTTCTAATTATTAATTCCTTGATTTTTTTTTTTTTTAATAATTATAGTCACTTTAGACTACGAAGAATATATTTTTTCATTTTTTAATAATAAAATTTGTTTATTTAAATTTTTCTTAATTTTTTTAATGAAAGCCATTTTTTAGTATTTTTCTAACAATAAACTTTATAAGTCGATAACAATTTTAAGATGAGTACTTCTTAATTAACTAGCATTTTAATACATAAAGTGGGTATGGACGCAGGTGGAATATACGTACACCAATACGAACTGCGCCCACATGCTTGTAGCTTATTTCTTTTCCTTATTTATAATAAATAATAATAAATGTGCTTTGAACGCAGTCTAAGAACTCAACAAATTATTTGAAAAACATTTTAAACAATATGATATTTGGATCAAAAGTTATTGGATTAGTCATATATCTGTGAGGCACTTTGTATTTGTATATAATTTCCTTTTCTCTAAATGTTTGTTTTATAATCTTATATGTAACTTTTATAAGATAATAAACGAGATGATTTTAAAATTAGGGGTGCTAAATCTCTTCATGCGCCTTAATATGAGTCTATAGTTAGATCACTTAATTTGTACAATAATATATTATAACTATAAATATATAAAATATATTTATAGTTATTTGTCATTATGTTTTGAAAATGTAAGAGAAAGACTGTCAACATTTTAATATAAATATGTTTTTAGTATACTTATCAGAGTTCAGAACTTTATTAATTAATAAATTTCATTTTAGTTACACCGAGATCATTAATATAAAATAAATATTTTAATAATACATAGTTAAATAAATTGTTATCATTTATGGGTTAAAAAACTTTAAATTAAATTTTCTTTTATAGGAGCCTCCATTTTTAACTTATTAATATGTTAAAAAAAAATACAAAGAATTTTTTTTGTTCATCTGTTACACTATTTCATTAAATACTTTACAATTCATTGAGATTTCGATCTGTAATAATAATAAATTAACTTATGTGAAAAAATGATAAAAATAAACGACTTTATAAGGAATTCATAATTACTTAAATAATCCCTTTGAATAGTTAATGTTTTTAGTTTAACACGTTTTCACTAAACACGCGAGATTTGTTTTTATTTCTATATTCATTAATAAGAATTGGTAGAATTATTCAATCAGTATGAGTCAAGACTCATCTTTATCGTAAACCTTACAATTTTAACAGTTAATTTTGATTTAGATATTAATAGTAAATATTCGTATACCGAAATTTTAAACATATAGGTGGTAATTTTTTATTATTCTTATATCAATAGCCATGATAACATTGTTTCGAAATAATGTTAAGGCGGCAATCGTGTTCACGCTTATAACAGGCAATAATAAATAAAATGGTCTCCCGCTGATTCTATGTAATTTATTGCTATTATTCATTATTTTATTTTACCCGTCATAACCGACTGACATCACCTTCGTCAGAATAAACTTTCAGGTCATTATCATGTCTTATCATTATTGCTGTAGTAACCTTTTATTAAGATATAAGCTCTTATCTTTGATCTTGAAGTCTAACTTTCGCTGAAAGAGCAATCGATTATCTTACTACCTCGAATTATAATTCTTGTAGTTAGTTCTCGTTAGGTTATACAAGTCGCCTTCTAACTAGTACTTCTATTTAAGAGTTATCCTTAAACAATTATAGAATGTATAAATATTAGTTGCATATTGTTGTTCTAATAATTATGTATAACACTATTAATGATTATAATTTCATGGATATTATGTTAATTGATTTTTTTATTTATTAGATAATGTAATACAACATACTATTTATAATATTAATTTAATTATAATAATAGTATATAAACGTTTTAGAGCAATATAGTGTATTTAATTCATATTGGTAATTAAAAATAGTCATATATCTACAAAAATAAGTGTACAAATAATTGGTAAAAAAAAAAAAATGTTTTTTTTTATTTATTTATTTAGTTTTGTCTTAATCATAACTAAAAAATTAGATGTAAACTTCAAACTCAATATCATAATTGAAGTCGAAATCAATTTTGTTTTAAGTTGGTTCATAAGCAGTTTTAACCAATAAACCAAAACTTGCCATTCAACTCTGGTAATTTTGACATTTAATTTCATAATTTAAAAGTTTAAAGAGTGAAAAGCGATAAACAAAACATCGATGTAATCACATGTATTACTTTGAAAATGCCGATGTATGTACTAGCACCGACCTTGTAATTTAAAATATTTGATTTATATTTATAAAAAAAATAACAGCTAACCCAGATAAGTTATTAAATTCACGTCTAATTGCTAATGAAATGTATATTTTTTAATCATATTTTAAACCTAAGCAAATTGAAAAAGAATATAAAAGTTTTAAACTCGAATGAGCAATAAGAATAACTTAAATACAATTCTATGTGATGTCTTAAATTTACGCACAATTGTCGATTACCAACAGAAGAAAACTTAGTTACCGTGAAAGATGGAAGCAAGTCTATATTAACATTTATCGATATATGTATGAAGTACAACTGGACTTCCTACATAGCAGTTAGGACATTTATTTAATGTGTTTTTCCTATCATCAACTCAAGACTCACTTTGGTTGGGAGTATTAAACTTGTACGCAGTTAAGTACGTTCAACGTTGTCGATTCTTGTCGCAGGGCGTGGATATAATGGAACCGTAGAGTCCTCTAGCACGAGCGCTACGTATATTATGGTAAGTGGGTTATTGACATTTCTACCAGCAATTGTAGACTCCAGCGCACATACAATGTCAGCCTCTGGTCCGAGCCCAGGGCCGCTACAAACTGGTTCCGAATAGCAAACAACGACAACATCCATGTTGTGTGTCGATGCCGTGTTGTGGTTGTTTTCTCAAAAACGAGTTTTATGTGATGAATTAGAAAAATAGGTCTAATGTATACAATTGCAAGTACAGTAATATTATATGTCACAGGATTGTTATCCGACGAACTTAAAACGTGTTCAACGTGACTACCGAATTGCACAACGGAAGGTGATAAATGTGTAAACTTGATCACGGTCAATACATACGAGTTGTCACACTATTATAAGATATTCTTCATTCGGATATAAAAACTGATAAACCTTCCAAATAAAGATCAAACATTTACATTAAAATTACTGTATAGTTAGTATTTTTTATGTCATTATATTTCTCTAAAAATGTTCATTTCGATAATTAAATAATATTTTGAATTGTTGTTGAAATAAATTTTTTTCGAAAAAGTTCCTAGTAAAATTTAGAATGCTGCTAGTAATCGAAATGTATTTTTTAATCTTCTAAATTCCATTATGTTTAATGCTCAGAAGATGCTTGTCATTTTCAAAATTACTTATACCCGTGTACCATAAAAATAATATTTAATTAATTTTATTACGATAACTTGTAGCAGAATCATCGTACATAGATATATTTTATTTGCTATTAAAATAGCGATTAAACGGAAATTCAATTAGCATTTTTATGATTTACGATTCATTTAATTTATCAAAATTTAACTTAAATATTAATTAATAGAAAACACGTAATTGAAAATATGTTTAAACAATTTATCATACGCGTAAAGGATGGAAATACAAGTTCTCGTATTCATAAAATATTATGTTTCAGAAATATATGCCTCCCTCCGTCGTAAACGCGTTCTTTATTATTTTTACTTAAACTGTTTTTTATAGAGTTGATTAAAAAAATATTTTCAATTGTTTCACAATACATTTGTAAAATTTTATACAAAATTATTATTTTAAGTCGTTAAGTAAATTATTCTCCGTGTCTACGTAATAACAATTAATTGAACAATTGGTTAATTGAATATTCTTTATAATTAATTTGTTACATTAACAAGAAGGTAACAAGTATTCAACAATAATGAATATTACTTCATAGTTAAATAATTGTACTTCCAAATCTACTGAGTTTATTCAATTGCAAATCCTCTACATAACCAAATAAGTTGTTAAGTGATGTCTTAAAGATCATTTGCACATCACACGTGCCTATAAAGCTAATATTACTACAGATGTGTTTATACATTTCTTGTTTATAAAATTCTTTGATTAATTTTGTTTTTGTGTAAAACTACTTCCTCAGATTTGTTTTCAAATATAATAATTCGAAAAAAACAAACACAACACTACATATGAGTAGTTCTATTTTTTAACTCTAAAAATGATCTACTGTTGATTCAAAATAACAATACACCAGAAAGAAACGATACTCGACGAAAAT